TGCCGCCCGAGAGCGACTGGGCCACGTTCCGATCAGCGATCAGCGACGATGAGGTGTGGCAGTTCGCAGCGCCTCTGAGCAAGCTGATGCACGAAAGCCTCGCCGATGACGTAAACGTGGACCCCGAGCGAGGCCTGCTAGGGTTGATGCGCAATCGAATCGTCTCGATCGTGAGGGCAGCTGATGGGCATGCGACCTTTACAGCACGCACCGCGCTCGACCCGCCCGACGTGACGTTGCGCACCCACGCAAGCGTCTATGCACCTACGCAATGGGCCGACTCGCTACCTCCCCCGCCTGATCTCGTCCCAGACCATCCGCGCCGCAAGGTGTAGTGAGACCCAAGGCGAGGGTCTGCCCGCAGGCGCGTTGTATATCTCGAGGCGGTGCCGGCGCCGAACCTGTCCGCTGTCGGACCAAAGACAGCGTTGAAATCCTAATAGTAAGTCCAATGCGCTTCTCCATCAAGTACGTGAACAGAAGGTGCGCATACAAACGGGCAAAACAGGTTGAAACGACTGCTTCGGCGGCCCTCGATCCTGTACCGTGTGTGTTATGTCTTATGACCCACCCAATGAACACAAGAAGAAGAAAATGAACCGCCCAGTGAGAGAGGGCGAGAGACGATCGTCCGATCGAGGGGTCCCCCGCGTACCATGCGGAATCGACCCTATCCAGTAAAGGTGCTCAAGGTTGAAAGGTAGGAGCGTCCCTGATCAGAAGGAGTGGCCGACTACGGAGATTGAACGTAGCTCATCGGAAAAGGCGGGAGCGCCGTGAATTGGCTGAGGGGACGGACGACCACCAAGTTTAGCACATTATGCGCCTCGCGCTCGTCGGTGGCGCGGTCGCTGTGGGCGCGATTGCGGCCCGCGCGCTCGTGCGCAGGATGACTGGCCAAGCCTCTAACTCTGCGAAGTTGCGCCTTCGCCTACGAGGTGGAGGTGGAGACACAGAGATGCTGAAGAAGGCGTCCCTCGTATGCCCATGGGGCGGCTGGCTGGCACTCAAGCTCTCCAAATCGCGGCCCCCGACAGCGCCCGTCTCGACCCCATTCATGTTCCTTTTTACCCATCTCACAGTAGAGAGGTGTCCGTTTTTATTTATTTATTTAGGTATGATATTGGTTGCAAAATCTGTAAATCTCCCGAAGGTAGCTAACCCAACCAAACGAGGTGCGCCAAAGAGGCACATTGCCGCTCCAGTCGTTGACCACGGACGTGCGTACGTGAAAAGGATTCGCGCCGCCGGGGAAGCAGCACCCTCGAGGCAGCACCCGACGCGTCTACGGCATTTGAGCACCTCGCCACGCCGGAGAGCGGGCCTCCTCGTGGGCGTCTCGTTTGTCCGCCTCTTGCCAACCGGGAGAAGCACAGCGCAACACGAATGGAGTCTTTTTCTTCTTTTACCTGCGTCTCTCATGCCCGAACAACAGAGACGGGTACCGCCGCAGGTCCCACACTAGTGTTATCTCCCCTCCGTCTATGTTCCACTTCCACTTGAACGCCGCCCCGGCCTCGTCCTCCTCGGCCCCGCTCTCCGTCGCCGAGGCCCTGACAGCAACGCGATGGCCCAATGCGCCGATGCGCTCGGCTCTCCATGCTCTGTGCCTCACCGCGTCGCGGCGGAGGCGGCGAGCACCTCGTGTGCCAGCGGCCCCCGCGGCCGCCGCCACCACGTAGTCCTCGTCTTCCATTTGCGGCGGGCGCCCGGCAGCCAGCGGCAGCCGGCGGCAGCCAGGTGCAGCCAGCGGCAGCGAACGCAGTACCACGCAATTCGCCGCCCTCGTCCCGCCAACTCGTACCCCCCCCCCCCCCCCCAATCTTCTGGTTCCACTTCCTACATACATATTGTTATATTGTATAAACGAGGAGCGAGGTCTAGCGTGTGTGAACACTCAGCGGTGGGTCACTTCACCCTTTCCCCGAAGCTTTCAAGCTTGGCGATGCAGCCGCGGAGCAGCTCGAGGTTGTACTCGCGCACCGACCCGGAGTCGACAGCCCCGGGCCTCGGCGCTCGCGCATGCAGCCAGTTGGGAGGCGTCTGCCCTGCGGGCAAGCATCCGCTCCAGGTCGGCTTGCCGCACGGGATGGACACGACTACGCACCGATCGTTGAGTAATCCGCCGAGAGCGGAGTACATCGACTCGGTCGACATCATGAACAGGTCGCTCCGGGAAAACGCGGCTAGCGCACTACCCCACGGCGCCGCGCTGGGGTAGTGAATGTGCGCCCCGAGCCGGGTCAGATTCTCGCCGAGGCGGGAGCGCTCTGTGAAGACGTGCACGTCTGCGTCCGGCCGCAAATGTCTCACCAGCGCGATGAGCTCGGCAAACACCTATGGCGGTTCGCAGTCAGTGTCGTGCGGCTCCGACCAACCACCCCATGCGCCCGCACTGTGCATGCCTCGAGTCCGATAAAGCGGAAGCCCCGAGAAACGTCTCCGCGCCGGATGTGCACCGCCACAGCCAGAGGGCGCAGACCTCCCTGCGCAGCGGGCAGGCGGCCGCGCGCAAAGAAGGAAGGCAGCTGCTGGACGCACCGTGGCCGCTGAGCCCGGAGCTGCGCAACGAAGCGGGGGTCGACTAGCGGCACGGAGCCCGACGGCGTGGGTGGCGGAGAGAAAGCCCACGACGGAGGCGTGATCATCCGAGAGAGCTCATGCGGAACAGGCTGGACGTAGATCGCCTCTTCACGGCTTGACGCAGCCTTGGTGAGAGCCGTGTAGTCACGAGGCAACGTCCTCGCCCGAAGACCGACGATCGAGCGGAGCTGCGTTGTAATCGTGATACCACTTGCTCGACGGTCGGGGGGCGAAGTGGACAGCCTTTCGCCCGATTGGTCGTCAAATGTGGCGACAGGAAGGCAGGCAAAGGCCTGCGCGATGGCGTCAAAGTTATTCACCTCCTGGTGTCTGGCATTGCGAGCGCTGAGCCTCTCTGCACGAGGGAAGACGACCCCGCCGTAGCTCATGTTGAGCTGGAGCGCAAACGCCGCCCACTGCAGCATGTTTACTACAATCTGCCCTGGCCCATCCGCCCGGCGAGGGTGGAAGAGCCAAACGCCGCCGTGCTGCCGTAGCCACGAGTCGGAGCAGTTGTCGGCGCGACTCCCACAGAGCATACCGTAGAGGGCCCTCAAACTGAGCACCGGGTGCGCCTGCACCGCTCGAGCGCACACGCGTGGCGTGAACGCGCGCGGATGTGAGTGTGCAGACTATACTCGAGCGCGTCGGAGAGTGTTTCAGTTTAATCATATCGAATGATATCCCGAAACGTAAGGAATTCACACTCGCTAGCGTCCGCCCTTCTGAAGGCGGCGCTTTTCTTTTTTTAGCACATATACATGTGTGTATGTCTCCTTCACGCGCAGCGGTCCTGGTAGCAAGCGCGTCGCTCGTCGTCATCGTTCTGAGCCTCCGCCGCCGCACGCCCAGCAGCGCCAAGCACCGCCGCAGGTCGACGGCTGCCGCGCCACCGAAAGTGTCTCGCGGTCCGAATGGGCTTGAGAGGATGGCTGGCGGTAACCCAGCAGGCGAGCCGTGTCCGTCCATTGCCCGGTTCGGCAAGTGCAACAAGCGTGCTTGCTCCTACTCGCACCAGCTTGCCCATGCCCTCTCGGCCAGAGGCGGCGGCGGTGGCGATGCGACGGGCAGCGGCGGCGGCGGCGGCGGCGGCAGCGGCAGCGGAAAGCCGCGGCGCGGCGGCCAATCGGCTCTGCGCAGTCGCTTCTACGCAAAGAGCGCGGACGGGCTCCTCCCGTGCAGCCTCCGCTTTGTGGACCGCTTCCTGCGCTGGGAGTGCGGCCGCCACCTCCTCGGGCTCGGCCTCTTCCCCGACGCGAAGGAGATCTCCGAGTCGGTCGCGTGCCTGCAGGCGGTGCTCGAGCACTGCGCACAGCACGCCTTCTCGCCCGCGAGCGGCGACACGCTCGTCGTCTGCGTCGGCGACGGCCGCACGCCGCGCACGGCGGCCCTGGTGGCGATGCGTTCGCGGTGGGACTGCGTGTCCATCGACCCGGCGCTAGCTGGCCTCGAGCCGCCGGCCGCCGGAGAAGAGGGGGAGGGCGGCAGCGGCGATGGCGGCAGCAGTGGCGGCGGCGAGTGCGACAGCCGCTGCGGAGAGTGCAGCGACGGGGACCCCGCCGCCGAGCCTCTGGCGCGGCTCGAGAAGGTTGCGCAAGCGCGGCGGGGCGGCGGCGGAGGCGGCGCGCCCAAGCCGCTTCCGGTGCCCAAGGAGCTGAGGCACGCCAACCTGCTCTCCCAGGAGGCGAGCGACGCAGCGCGCGCGCAGCGGGCGCGGCTGCGGACGGAGCTCCGCTCGATCGCGCGGCTGCGGCTGCTGTCGTGCCGAGCCGAGGAGGCTGCTGTCTGGGTGGCTGCGCGCGTCACCTCGGTGGTTGTGATGCTTCCGCACGCGCACGTCACGCCCGACGAGGCGCTCGGCTGCCTGCGCTTCGGCGGCGAGCGAGAGCGGGGGTCGGCCGTCCCGGCCATTGCGGTGGTGCAGCTCCCTTGCTGCGGCTACGTCTGGCACGGCACCGCTCTGGGGCAGCCGCCCGACGTCGAGAGGCTGGACGGGCGGATCTGCGCCGCAGCGCGGACGGTGCGGGTGTGGAGGGACGTGTCGGCGCACTTCAACTTTGGCGCCTCCGCGCGCGGGCTGGGCGCGAGGACCGCGGGAGGGTAGCGTTGGCCGTTCTCTCCGTTGGCGTTGCGTCTTGCGTGATACACACACACAGTATATTCGGAAATGATATCTTAGAGATTGCGCGGCGCACGGCTCGAGCTCGGACGACGACGAGCGGCGTGACACGTGACACGCGTCATTTCAGGCCGGACGTCTGCCTCGCAGACGCTCAGCGAGGAGTGAGCAGTGACGAGTGCGTGTGTGTCTGTGACTGCAGTCCAGTGTGTGAGTGAGAGTGTGTGTCGGTCGTCTGTCGAGGAACACGTCGTACGAGACTACGAGGACCGGGCGGGCCTTTGATCCCGCAAACACCAATATAAAGGCATCATCAAAAAGAGACACTCCCTGAACTAGTGTGCGCGAGACTCGCGCGTTCCGACGACGACACTCGGAGCCGCGGGCCACAGCCTATGGGCCCGCAAAGTGGGTGCTGCTGCTGGGTCGGAGGGCTTCGGTGCACATCAATACCCGTAGCCGCCGCCGCCGCCGTACCCTCCCATTTGCTGCGGCATCCCGCCGCCCATGCCGCCGCCCATGCCCGCGCCGTACACCACCATCGCGTTGGGGTCGCCCGCGCCGTAGTCCGAGTAGCCCGACGCGAGCGCCTCCTCCGCCTTCTTCTTCTCCTCCGCCGCCGCCTCCTCCTTCTTCCGCTCCTTCTCGACCAGCGTGTCGAGCTTATTCGTGATCTCGCGCATAGTCTGCACCATGAAGGGCATCGCAAAGTCGTTCAGGTTGTTGCGCCAGGCGAGCTCCATCACGACGTCGGGCCGCAGCTGCGCGTAGCACGTGTAGAGCGCCGCGGCAAAGCACGTGTTGAGCTTCTGCTCCACGAAGAAGTTGATGAGCTCCTCGGCGATGGCCGAGTCGCCCGACTCGGCCGTCGTCTCGATGGCCTCGTCCCACACCTTGTCCTTCTTGGACAGCTCCACCGACTTGGACCACTTCTTCGCGCGCTTGTAGAGCATGGCGCCGATGCGGCGGAACTGCAGCAGCGAGTGCTTCTCGCACATCTGCGCCATCTCGACCTGGTCGAAGTTGTCGAAGGTGACGACGCCCTTGGCGAGCGCCTCGTGGTCCTCGTCCTCGACGTACAGCGCGTAGAGCGCGTCGTTCACCTCCTTGATGTTTGCGGGCTGCGTCGTAAGCAGGTACGGCTTCACGAGCGGCAGGTGGCCCGCGCGCTTCA